CTTACCTTAGGATGAACTAATCTTAATTTAGGATGAACTAATCTTATCTTAGAATGAACTAAACTTACATCACCCTATCTGACACTCTCTCCACCTCTACTACAGTCTTTGACAACTCCTCCTTCAGGACCACCCCTACTCTTTTTCTCTTTTCAAATCTCTCCTGAAAACTCACCTGTACTCACTGACATTTAACACAGGGGGATCAGATTTAGATCTGGTTTTTCATTGATGCTGATTCTGTTTATGCTTTTTGTTTTATTCCTGTTTAACACAAGGTCATCAGATCTGATTTAGTATTTCATTGTTTCTGACTGAGTTTATGCTTTTAGTTTTTATTTCCTTGACTTTTGACACAACATGATCTGATTTAGTATTTCTTTGTTTCTAATTATGTTTTCTGTATATATTTTTATTCCATGTGCTGTAAATATATCTTGCTACTTTTTATTTGATGTTGTGATATTTTTGTTAAGCACTTCGGTAACAACAAAGTCCATGCTTTTATACCTGGATTATTGAGCATGGACTTTGTTGTTTTCAACCAGTTTGACAAGACTGTGAACAAGGAGAACTGGTTTGTTCCACTTTAGAGTAAGCTGTTTGGAGAAGAATCAGTTTTGCCGTGTGTTTCCTTGACTGATGAAGCCTTCTGGATCGAAGGCGAAACGTTTCAGCACAAAAAAAGAAACAGTCCAGATGACCTGACTGAAAAATGTTGCACTTTGGTGACAGTTTCTGTTTTAAATGTGCTCTATAAATAAATCTGACTTGACTTGACTGACTTTCTATCCACACCATAGTAAAACAGTTTGAACCTGCTCCAATGCTGCGAGCCTTGCTGCCCTTCCACTTGGTCTCTTGGACACATAAAACATCTACCTTCCTTCTCAGCATCATGTCAGCCAGCTCTCTACCTTTGCCTGTCATTGTCCCCACATTTAGAGTTGCAACCCTCAGTCCTACATTCTTCACGTTCCTCTTCTCCTCTGTCTCCTGACACGTTTCCCTCCTTGTGGTCTTCCACTAACTCACTTCACTGAATAAAGAACTAAATTCATTGAATGATGAATTCATTGAATGATGAATTCATTGAATGATGAACTAAATGCATTAAATTTTTTTTCTTTCGGCTGCTCCTTCTTCATGGGTCGCTACAGCGAACTAAGCCGCACGAAGACTTGGCAGTTATTTTTACGCTGGAGGTCCTTCCTGACCAACCACAGCCTCTGAGTGGAGCAGAGAGCTGCCATGTGGGGCGCCCGGGGGGGTTAAGAGCCTTGCTCAAGGGCCCAGAGAGGGACAAATGAGGGTGGAAGCAGGTGTGGGTGCTTCACCTTTCCCACCCACATTTTGATGTTGTCTGTACCAGGAGTTGAACCAGCGATCTTCCGATCACAGGCCCACCTTCTCTAACCTCTGCGCCACCACTTCCTCCTAACTAAATGCACTGAATGATGAACTGAGCTCAACATATGTTTGCAGGGTTCTCAGGGTCCTCCTGGTGTGGCCGGTCCGATTGGAGCAGCAGGAGTGAGGGTGCGTACAGACAAGCTCCCCTGAATCCTTTAAAGACCAGAAACAGTTTTTATGACAGATCTCATGTTTTCAGGGGCCTGCAGGGAAGGAGGGACCAACTGGACCCAGAGGACCAGCTGGTCCGATGGTGAGACCATAAATCCTCATTTAGAACCTGAGCCCGCAGCCAGAACTTGTACTGGAGCTGATCTTTGGGTTCTTTGTTTCCCCACAGGGACCTCCGGGATCTCCTGGAATACCAGGACCTGCTGGAAAACCTGGGAATTCGGGAGACTTTGGTCCTCCTGTGAGTGTCCCTGCAGCACGATGTGTTCTGGAACCAACACGCTACTTCTGATGGATTTAATGGTTCTGGTTCTGCTTTCAGGGAGCTGCTGGACCCAAAGGAGACAAGGGAGAACGGGTGAGTAAACCTGAACGTTCTTTGTCTGTCTGTCAGAAGCTCAGATGTTCCACAGAGCTCAGTAATTTCTCTTTAGGTTCTAAATGGTTCTTATGGGTTCTCAGGATGGTGGGATCTCATTTCATCAGGTTCTCTTCAGGTTCTACTGTAGGACTGACCTGGTTGATCCAGGCTTGTGCTCGTTATTCCTCTGCTTCTTTTAAATCTTTAAAAACAGTAAATGTTTGATCAATGCCACATCTGATGGGAAGACTTCATATGTTAACTGGTTTGAATATTTCATCTCTGCTTCTCCTTTGAGGACTAAAGTTGATTTGCATGAGTTGCTATGGCGCTACACAGAAGTGCAGCGGCCTCTCATGGGATTAAACCTTATTTTAATTATTTTAATTCCTATGAGGCTGTTTTAGGCTCTAGTTTAGTGCTAAATTCACAGCTCAAGTACAGCTCAACTGAACTGAGGGCCATCAGAAACAGTTCCATCCACCGGACCCAAGAAGGATCAATCCAAGAACATCTACCCGTCCAGACCAGATACCAGGCCGTGTCCTGAAGGAGTGTGCAGAACAACTGACACATGTCTTTACAGACATATGTAACATCTCCCTGCGTCAAGCTGTTGGGCCACCCTGCTACAAAGCCTCTGCAATCATCCCGGTTCTTAAAAACCCACAGTAACAACTTTGAATGACTATCGCCCAGTAGCACTTACACCCATAATCATGAAGTGCTTTGAACGACTGGTCAAAGGTCACGTTACCTCCATCCTCCCCCCTTCACTTGACCCATTACAATTTGCATATCGCCCAAACCGGTCCACTGAAGACGCCATATCCACTGCACTCCACCTGACCTTGGAACACCTGGAAAATAACAATGCATTGGTCCGGATGCTGTTTGTGGATTTTAGCTTAGCATTCAATACTATAATGTATATATATATATACATATATATTTGTTAATTGTTAAGCTTCTTGATCTGGGAGCTGAGTCCAAATTCCGTATCATAAACATATAAATGTGAGCTGGTATGTCAATAAAAAAATCCTTGAATCCTTAAAGCCAGTGTTTGCTTCAGGGCGGAGTTAACCGGAGCTGAACATGTTTTAAATATTTAAACCTGTTTTATTCGTTAACATATTCTGTGTTGTGTTGTCACATCCTGCATGTTTGTGGTGAACTGAGTTTGTGTTTCTGGACTCATGACCCAGCAGGACACAACATCAAAAATGTGTGAGCATGAAGCACTTGGCAAGATGGTGGCCAAACATCTGGCAGTGACCATTCCAGAGCTACTTCAGACTACTTCTGAAATCTTTGTGCTGTTTCAACTGTGTACAAATCAAAATGTTCAGCTCAGTCAGAACATGAATGCTGTGACTTTACATTTTTGGAACTTGTATACTTTCCAAAATATTGAATTCCATTTACAAATAATTTTCCCACAGAGACATTAGGTCTCTTGAGTCCTTCAGAAACGTTGATCTCTTTGAAATCTGCTGAAGCTACTAGCTATAATTTTGTCTTCTGATGCCACTTTTAGATAACATTTCAAAACTTTTAGCTAGCCTTTTGAACATTTTGCTTTTAGCCAGCTTTTGCAATGTGTTTTTTTTTTTTTAGCTAGCCTTAAACTAGGTTAAGCTACCTTTTTGTTACATTTATGTAGTCTTTTTATACTGTGCACATTGTCCATGTCCTGGGGGCCGAGACGGGGTAGAGGCAGGGCAGCCGACTTGGGACCAGAAAGTCGCGGTTCGACTCCCAGCCATTCCCACATGTCATGGTGTCTCTGAGCAAGATACCCAATCCCTAGTTGCTCCCTGGGCACCTACGTAGCTGCCCACTGCTCCACCTGGCTGTATCCTAGGTGTGATAGGTTAAATGTAGAAAGTAATTTCTTTATTGTATGGGAACATACAATGATGACAATCTCAAACTTCCCTTCCCTTAGTTAATCTGTGCTGCTTTTTAGCTAGCATTATGCTTCTTTACTTTTGGGTTAGCTTCATACTTCTTTTAGCTTTTAGCAGTAGTTTACTTCTTTAGGCATGTAATTGGCCAACTTGAACAAATTCAGCTTAAGCAAATTTCATCAATGCCATTCAGTCCTCAATATTCATCCTGAAATAAAAATTATTTAGGTTCTCACTTTGTACTTTCTGATCTGCAGGGAGACTTCGCTCCTCAAAACATGATGAGATCCATCGCCAGACAAGTTTGCTCGCAGCTCGTTAGTGGTGAGTGAGTGTGACCGTTAGCCATGTTTGTGCTAGTTAGCAGTGAGTGTTTGTGACCATTATCACAGTTTGTGAGAGTTAGCGGTGAGTGTTTGTGTCTTAGTGGTGAGTGTTTGCGTCTGTTAGTTGTGAGTGTTTGCGTCTGTTAGTTGTGAGTGTTTGTGACTGTTAGTTGTGAGTGTTTGTGACTGTTAGTGGTGAGTGTATGTGTCTGTTAGTGGTGAGTGTTTGTGACTGTCAGTGGTGAGTTTTTGTGTCTGTTAGTGGTGAGTGTTTGTGACTGTTAGTGGTGAGTGTTTGTGACTGTTAGTGGTGAGTGTTTGTGTCTGTTAGTGGTGAGTGTTTGTGACTGTTAG